GAATATTTTTGGTTTATAGTGATCTTTTGAGGCTAAAATCCAATTTTTACCTTTCTTCGACATTTTTATAATACCTACTTTAGTAAGATAAGTAGTTTTGACAAGGTTTGTATGCCCTGAACAAAGGAAGACCCAGGTCTTCCTAGTTTTGGTTACCTATTCAGTCCATGAAAGAAACTAAAAAACAGCCATAAGATGTATCCCATCTTTCCAGCTCCTCAGTTTCCAGTCTCTTAACTAAATATGAATCCAGTGAAAATTTGTTGATTTTTCTGGAATACTAAAGACACAAATTCCTTTGCAAAAGCTGGCATTGTTGATAGATTTTACTGAAGGATAACTTCAGTAAAACATGGCCTCTGTTTTCTTTTCTCTCCCTTTCCCATACCATTTTTCACTTTTCTCTAAATCGGAGAACAAATATTTACCAAATTCATCTTGTAATCATGAATAAAAACAATAGCAACAACAGCAATGCCTATAGTTGCAAAATTAAAATGGCATTGCTTTTAGATGTCATACTACAAAGAACTAAAAACAGAATTAATTCTCAAATATAAACCTAGATACCATTCTGCAACTGTTTATGAATTTCCCTTACATTTTTTTTTTGCTTTTACCTGTCTCTGTTCATGTTTACTTTTCCTGTCTCTTCCATTTTCTTTCCCTGCATTTTAATCTCCTTTTGTTATCCATGTTCTCGCCCCTAACTAGTCTTTTATAACAGAGAATGCATTATTTTTCCTTCCTAAAATTTTTCCTATCCTGCATTCTCTGTTTCAAGTAGTGTTAAGAATGTCATTCAGTCACCAAACTGTGGAAAGAACCAAGATGCCCTTCAACGGACAAATGGATAAAGAAGACATGGTCCATATATTCAATGGAGAATTATGCCTCCATCAGAAAGGATGAATACCCAACTTTTGTATCAACATGGACAGGACTGGAAGAGAGTGAAATAAGTTAGAGAGAGTCAATTATCATATGGTTTCACTTACTTGTGGAGCATAAGGAATAACACAGAGGACATTGGGAGATGGAGAGAAGTGAGTTAGGGGAAACCGGAGAGGGAGACAAACCATGAGAGACTACAGACTCTGAGAAACAAACTGAGGGTTTTGGAGGGGGGAGGGGGTGAGAGGCTGGGTGAGCCTGGTGGTGGGTATTAAGGAAGTCACTTACATGGAGCACTGGGTGATGTGCATAAACAATGAATTTTGGAACATTGAAAAAAATTAATTTAAATTTAAAAAAAAAGAATATCATTCAGGAATCTTCAGAGACGACTACCTCTTTCTCACAGAATGCCTAGATCCACTTACTGAGTCCTGTTTATTCACACTCTTAAATAATAGAAATATCCTCTCCATCTCCAATGTGCATTATTCATAATCTCTTGTCTAGACAGCTGAAATACTCTCTCTCCATTTATCTCTTTGTCTCCATTCTATTAAGTAACAAGTATAATCTAATTCATACATGCCCCCTCCAATAAATCATTTCTCTAAAACACATAGGATTAAGTCTCTGTCATGTAAAAAATGTTCCAGTGATTCTAAATTGTTGAAATTTTTCAGCATGGAACACAGCATTTATATTTGGCTTATGTCCATCTTTCAATCTACATTCCACACCATTACTTTCAACTCTTCCTCTCTACCCTCCCCATCCATAAGCATACCTCTGCACTCCAGAAACCTTCATATCTCCATCTCTGTATGCATATGCATATCCCCCCTGTGTAATAATGTTATCACTGTGTTTCACATATCTTGCTATAACTTATCACAATGAATTACAGTTATGAATCCATCTACTATACCGGAGTCCTTGAAGATAAGGACTGCAACTTGGGAATCTTTATATACCTGACAATGAACACTATGTTTGTCCCATTGTACATACCTGATACATAGTTGTTGAATGCCCTCAAAATAAAAAGCTGCTCAAAACATTTTTTTTACTTGTTAAGTTCATTATATAATGGAACTCTCAACTTGAGTCTAGGCTGTGCCCACTGTGGGAATTCAGACTTTAGTTGTTCAGACAAGTTTGAGAGAAGCCTATTTGTAAGGGAACTAGGAGTCTCCTGAGAAACAACTCAAGTTATACCACTGATAAGTCTGAAACATATCTGGAAATGTCTGGTAAACTTGAAGGGATGACTTGACAAGAATTTTTTTGTAGGGGACCAGAAATGTCTCCTGGGAGAGAACAAATTGTAAGAAAGGCTGACTCTAAATGCCAGAGGGAAGTTTGTGGGAACACTGTAGTGCATTCTACCCCATGAAAGTCCTCAGACACATTCTAGAAATGGACACAAAACAAAAACTTAAAAAGTGAATTCACTAAAAACCCTGCAAATCAAAGAAGCACAAGCCACACTGCTTTAAGACCATCTAAAAAAGTATAAGACAAAGGAGAAAGAGAACACATCTCCCCCACTTTTCCCCTGATCTGAGGGTCAATTTTGTCATGGTCAAGATAAAGGAAACCATCATACTCGTGGGAGCCACTGGAGACTGCCAAGCAGCACCCTAGTCTGTGCTATAGGACACCACTGCCTGCTCAATACCATGACATCATGGTTTCTATCAAGCTACCAAGAAACAACAGCACCTGGCAGAGGCATGCACCTGATGGAATAGTGGTGGACACTGGTGGAAAACACAGTTTCAGTAAGACATGGGACTGTCAACTTATACCATCAGTTATAAGACATGTCCAGGAAATTCCTGAATATGACTGAAGGAAGAGTTTGAAAATTTTTCTTAAACAAACAAACAAACAAAAAAACATTTATCCAAGTACATTAAAGCAAAGTAAAAAATTCTTAAATATAAATATTACCTGAACATTAAGAATAATGTAGGCAAATAATCATTGTTTTAATATATATGCAGTCTTTTCAGCTGCATCTGTTTCTAATCCCTTGTCAATGAAATTTTTGGGGGGAAAAATATATGGCTTCAAAAAAGGTGCTATTACCAGTTTTTATATAAAATTGTTTATAATCACCTTAAAATTGCATCTTGTGATTAGTACATTTGAAACTGATGAGATGTAAAATTGACCCTTTCCTGTAGAGAATATTTTAAATGAGAAGATACTCTCTAGGTAGATGCTAAGGTATATTTCAGTGCTTGAATGTTTCACCCAACTATTTCTATTATCTATTTGCCTCCATTCAGTCTCTTTCTCCTAAAAATATTTTACTAAAAAAAGCATTTCTTTTCTTTTGAACATTTCCTCAGAAATGTGGCCAAAAGTCCTCCCTTTTTTATTTCATTCTAATAAAGGATATAAATTTATCCAATTAAAAATCATAGCTCCACCAAAATATTCTTTCCATAGATTGTCCAAAGTGTAACTATAGGATTTCAGAATGAAATCATGTATGCTATTGGAGCCCTGATATAGTTTGCTCATTTTCTTCCTTCCTTGTAGGATAAATAATGCAGTCTTCTATTTTGGAGAAACAAAACAAAACAACTGTATAGGCTGGCTAGGAGGGAACTGACTGATATATCGAATGGCTGGTAGCATCAAATATTTTTCTCATCATCATTCCAAAAGGAAAATAACCACTCCTGTCCACATACAATTGGTTTTATTTACTTATTTATTTATGACAGAGAGAGAAAGAGAGAAAGAGAGAGAGAGGAGCAGAGAGAGAATTTTAAGCAGGCTGTATGCTCAGCATGGCGCCCAGTATAGGGCTCAATCCCACAACCCCAAGATAGTGACCTGAGCCAAAATCAAGAGTTGGACACTTAACTAACTGAGCCACTCAGGTATCCCGCCTTGACTGGTTTTTACAGATACACTTAATTTTACTGCTCTACTACTTTCTACTTTTCTTACTCCTGCCTATATTTTTTCTCTCCACTCAATTTTTTCCCTTTAACATTTCCCATAGGGCTGGTTTAGTTGTCATGAATTCCTTTAACTTTTGTTTACCTGGGAAACTCTATCTCTCCTTCTAATCTGAATGATAGCCTTGCTGGGTAGAGTATTCTTGGTTGCTGATTTTTTTTCCCCCTTTTAACACTTTGAATTTATCATGCCTCTCTCTTCTTTCCCAAACAGAAACTGGAAAAAAAAAACAAAAACAGTAGAACAGATCAAAGAAAGCAGGAACTGGTTCCTTCAAAGAATCAACAAAATTAATATATCTTCAGCCAGACTCATCCAAAAATAAAGATTCAAATAAACAAAATCAGAAATGAAAGAGGAAAAACAACTGATACTACAGAAATACAAAAGATCATAATATTATGAAAAATTACATGCCAACAAATTGGACAACCTAGAAAATATTGAAAAATTACTAGAAACATATAAACTCCCAAAACTGAACAAGAAAGAAATAGGAAGTATGAACAGACCAATTACTAGCAATGAAATTGAATTAGTAATAAAAAACAAAAATAAAAAACATAAAACCTCCAACAAACAAAAGTCCAGGATCAGACTTCTTCACAGGTGAATTCTACCAAACATTTAAGAAGAGTTAGTACCTATTCTTCTCAATTATTCAAAAAAAATAGAAGAGGAAAGAAAGCTTCTCAATTCATCCTATGAGGCCAGCATTACTCTGATACAAAAACCGGATAAAGACACTACTAATATCACTGATGAACACAGATGCAAAAATCCTCAACAAAATACTAGCAAACCAAATCCAACAATAGATTTAAAACAAAACAAATCAATACCTTTACCACAATCGAGTGCAATTTATTCCTGCGATACAAGGTGCTCGCTTCGGCAGCACATATACTAAAATTCCTGTGATACAAGGGTGGCTGAATATTCGTAAATCATCAACATGATACATCACATCAACAAGAAAGGATAAGAACCATATGACTATTTCAACAGTTGCAGTAAGAGCACTTGACAAAATACAATATCCATTCTTGATAAAAATCCCTCAACAGAGTAAAGATAGATGGAACATATGTTAACATAATAAAGTCCATACGTGAAAAACTTACAGCTAATATAATCTTCAGTGGGGAGAAAACGAGAGCTTTTCTTCTATAGTCAGGAACAAGACAGGGTGTAAACTCTCACCACTTCAGTTCAAAAGACTAAGGACTCTGCCAAAAAACTGAAAGAAAAAAAAAAAAAGAACAGATAAATAAATTCAGTAAAATCACAGGATAAAAAACTAATATACAGAAATCCATTGCATTTCTATACACTAATAATGAAGCAGCAGAAAGAGAAATTAAGACAACAATCCCATTTGCAATTGCACCAAAAATAATGAAATACCTAGGAATAAAATAAGGTATTAACCAAGGAGATGAAGGACCAGTACTCTGAAAACTATTAAACACTGTTGAAGGAAATTGAACACAACACCAACAAGCAGGAAGACATTCTATGCTCATGGATTAAAAGAACAAATACTGTTAAAATGTAAATGCCACCCAAAGCAATCTTCAGATTTAATGCAAGCTCTATCAAAATACTAATAGCATTTTTCACAAAACTAAAACAAAGAATCCTAAAATTTGTATGGAACCACAAAAGACTCCAAATAGCCAAAGTAATCTTGAAAAGGAAGAAGAAAACTGGAGATATCACAATTCCAGATTTTAAGATATACTACAAAGTTGTAGTATTCAAAACAATATGTTATTAGCACAAAAACACACACATAGATCAACAGAACAGAATACAGAGACCAGAAATAAACTCACAATTATATGGTAAGACAATTTTCAACAAATGAAGCAAGAGAAGACACAATGGAAAAAAAAATCTTTGCAACAAATGCTGTTGGGAAAACTGGACAGCTAAATGCAAAAGAATGAAACTAGACCACTTTCTTATGCCATACGCAAAAACAAACTCAGAATGGATTAAGGACATTAATGTGAGGCCTGAAACCATAAAAATCCTAGAAGAAAGCACAGGTAGTAATTTCCCTGACATTGCCAAAGCAATATGTTTCCTTAGACAAGGGAAACAAAAGCAAAGATAAACTCCTGGACCACATCAAAATAGAAAGCTTCTGCACAGCAAAGGAAATATTCAACAAAGCTAAAACATAACATACTGAAACAAATATATTTTCAAATGGCATATCCTATATCCAAAATATATAAAGAACTTATACAACTCAACACCCAAAAAACCCAAATAATTGAATTGAAAAATGGGCATAAAGACATGAACAGACATCCTTTCAAAGAAGACATACAGGTGGCCAACAGAGATAAGAAAACATGCTCAATATCACTCATCATCAGGGAAATGTAAATCAACTACAATGAGATATCACCTCACACCTGTCAGAATGGCTAAAATCAACAACACAAGAAACAAGTGTCGGTAAGGATGTGGATAAAAAGGAACCTTCATGCGCTGTTGGTAAGAATGCAAATTAGTGCAGTCACTGTGAAAAACCAGCATTGAGGTTCTATAAAAAATTAAAAATAGACTTACTATATGATCCAGCCATTCCACTACTGGGTATTTACCCAGAGAAAATGAAAACATTAATTGGAAAACTATATGTACTCTTACATTTATTGGAGCATTATTTACAATAGCCAAGATATGGAACCAACTGAAGTGTCCATCAACAGATGAATGGATAAAGAAGAAAGAGTACATATAGGTAGCATATATATGCACACACACACACACACACGTGTGTGTGTGTGTATATATATATTAGGCACATGCACACACACACACACACAAATTGGATATAACTTAGCCATAAGAAGAATGAAATCTTGCCATTTGCAACAATATGCATGGATCTAGAGTGTATAATGGTAAGTGAAATAAGTCATACAGAGAAAGACAAATACCATATGTTTTCACTCATATGTGGGATTTCAGAAACAAAACAAATGAACAAAGACAAAAAGAGATAAACAAAAACAGACTTTTAACTATAGAGAACAAATTGATGGTTACCAGAGAGAAGGTGAATGAGGGGATGGGTAAAAAAGATAAAGGGGATTAAGAGTACACTTATTATGATGAGCACTGAGTAACATATAGAACTGTTGAATCACTATGCTGTATTCCTGAAACTAATATGACATGTCATGTTACTTCTATTGTAATTTTAAAAATAAATTACAAAATTATCAAAAAAAATTGTCCTTTTTCCTGTGTTACCGGAACCTCATCTATTCTATCTCCAATTCACAGATGATTTAATTGAAAAGCAATTTCTGAGGGTTTTGAAGGGGCGGTGGGCAGGAGGTTGGGAGAGCCAGGTGGTGGGTATTATGGAGGGCACGTATTGCATGGAGCACTGGGTGTGGTGCATAAACAATGAATTCTGTTACACTGAAAAGAAAAAAATACCATTGGTTATATTTCAACACATATTATTTAATCCTCCTATGTTCTTAATGAAAAATTAATATGTATATATAGTTATATAGTACCCCATCTCCCAGTTTCAATCAGAGAATTTTAGCCTAACTTAGATAAGCAACAATTAGCAAACACAGATGACCAACAACAATTGACCAACTTGCCCCAATATCCACCAGTACCTTCTCCCCAAAGCTCACATAGAACTTAAAATTCCTCCACCTTTAGTTTCAGTACAGTAGAGTTCAATCTCTCTCATTAATTACAACAGTCTTAAATAGCTTTCGTTTTTTGTTTCACTTGTCCAATGCAATTTCTTTTCAACAATTGTACTCCAATTATTATTATTACTCATGTATATTCACCATTAGCAGTATTCAAGAGTTCCCATTTCTCAACATGATTAAATAACATCACAAGGTTGATCTTTTCAAATATTTGCCAATTTTGCACATGTGAAGTAGTATATATATCCCTGATTACCAAGGAATTTAATATCTTTTCATATGTTTATTAGAAACACTTTTTTCCTCCTACGTGAAATCTCTGTTCATATGCTATGCCCATTTTACATGTCACTTGTCTTTTCTCTTTATTTATCCTGAATACTAATCCTTGTCAGTAATATGTCTCAAATATAATTCGATCTAGGCTGGCTTGATGACTGAGTCTATCATAGTCTCAATATAATTTATTAGTAGGAATTCCAAGCTGGCAACATAAGATCTTGTTCTAAACTATGGTTCAGATAGCAGTAACATAAAATCACTTGTCAAGGTGCTAGGGAAAAAACTGTCAGTCTAGAAATTCATACCCTGCTAAAAATTATCATTCAAAAGTGAAGTCATAACAAAAATTAGATGGCGGTGGTAATTTTCCTGATGCTTGTCTCTTTTAATAAACCATCAGTTAATATGCCGCAATTCTTTACAATTGAGATTCCATTGGCATTTCACAGTTTACATGATGTAGATATTCCTTTCAGTGGGAAATGTCTCTAAAATGTAACTTCATCCAAGTATGAAAATAAAATGAGTTTCTGTTTTCCACAAAGGAATTAATAATGTTAAAATAAAAATTCTAATTTCTCCAATGAACAATGATATATAATCAAAATTCACATTGTATATTAACCACTATTTTTATCAATACCTATTCCTTTGATTTAGAACCATTACTGCCTTCCTAAAAGCCATCTATTTAATCAAATTATATATATAGATATCTATATCTATCTATCTATACATCTTATTATTTGACCATGTACCTTAAAATCACTGCTTATTTTGATTTTAATAAAGATATTTATTTTTACCTAAGTTTTCACACTGCAAATTTGTTCCATTGTTATTTGGGGGTTTTGGGTTTGGGTTTTTTGGGGTTTTCTTTCTGTTTTTGTTTTGGGTATGTAGAATGCCACATATAACATAAAGTGATTGTTTTTACTCATGACTGTTGTCACCAATTTTAAAGATAATATGAAGCAAACAAAACTTGATGAAGTTTTCAGTAAAATGCTAAGTTTTTGGCAACTTTGGGAAATTGTTTATTCTTCCTCATGTAGTATATAGAATAGGGAAATGGAAAGAATGTTCCACTATAGAACTTATTGATAATTCACATAGCACATTATACAAATTCCATGTGGTTTTTGTCTCTATTAATGTATGATTAAATAGTTCCAGTTTGATGATAAATCTATTATTTCAAAGGAAATAAATTATTAGGAGTATCATAAAAGCACTAGTTTTTTTATTGCAGATACAAAATGTTTACCTTAGATATAATAGGAACTGACATAAAACTATTATATCAAGATTAGGAAGCACAGTTTCTAAAAGGTTTCTCTTGGGGTGCATGGGTGGCTCAGTCACTTAAGTGACTGACTTGATTTCAGCTCAGGTCATGATTTCACAGCTGTGAAATTGAGCCCCACATCATGCTTCATGCTCAGCCTGGAGTCTACTTGAGATTCTTTCTCTCTCTCTCTCCCCTTCTGCCCCTCCCTCTGCTTGCTCAATCTCTTTCTCTCTCTCTCTCTCAAAATAAATACATAAAATCTTTTTTAAAAAGAGGTTTTTCACTCTCTTTTAAAAGTAATGAATTTAAACAGGAGTTGTGTAATAACAACGAACACTTACATAAAGCACTGTTTTAAATACTTTCCACATATTAATTAATTCTGCTGTAACTCTTATAAATTAATAATTTTCCAAATCCCATTTAGCAGATGAAGAATTGGTAGTACAGAAAGATAAATGGCTTGCCTAAAGTCACACAGCTAAGAAGAGGGAAACCAGAGCTGAAATTCAGGCATCCCATACTTGTAACAGTCACACAATACTGACTCCACTACCTTACCATGTTCCATGGCAGAATCAATCCTTTCACCCACTGTTAATCTTTAATAAGGGCTTGGAATTTTTTATTCCATGACTGATATAAATTATAAAATCCAAATTAACTCAGTAATATTAAATTCAAAATAAAATAAATTTTATAAGTAAATTGAAACTTGAAAAATATTAAATCGTAGCAAGGAGGATCATTCATTCTCAATTTTCCCAGCAACTGAACAAGTAATGGATATCCTTAACTCAGAAAACAAATGAAATTGTTCACCATTTTTTCAAGGTCATAATAGAAATTCATAAGAAACTCTACAATTTCTTTGTATCACCTACACACAACCAAAATCTGAGAAGATTTATCAATAGCAAATCCAGACATATTCATAACTTTTTTTTTTAAGAT